AAAGGCAAATATTTGTGTATAAATATTCATTAAAAAAATGATAAATTCCTTTTTCTTTTCTTTTTTTATATGTGATCACATAACCTCTGTTCTCAGCTGCGTAAGGGGCTTTAAAGAGGTGGGAGTGGACAACCAGCACTACATTAAACTTCCCAATGAATGGCTGTGTAGGAGAGCATGGCAGCACAAGTCTTAGCCTTTTAACCACTTCAATACCAGACACTTTTACTCCCTTCCAGTCCAGGCCAATTTTCAGGTTTCAGCGCTCTCACACTTTGAATGACAGTTGCGCGGTCATACAACATTGTACCCAAACTAAAATGTTATCATTTTCTTCACACAACTAGAGCTTTCTTTTGGTGGTATTTAATCACCGCTGGGATTTTTATTGTTTGCTAAATTAACAAAAAAAGACTGAAAATTTAGAAAAAAAAACCCACTTTTTTCTTTGTTTCTGTTATAAAAGTTTTGCAAATAAATAATTGTTCTTCATAAATTTAGGCCAAAATGTATTCTACTACATGTCTTTGGTGAAAATAACCCAAATTAGTATTTATTATTTAGTCTGTAGGAAAGTTATAGAGTTCACAAACTATGGGATATATCTGAAAATTGATCAATCCTGAAGTGCTGACAGAAAATCTAATTTCTTGAGGTCCAAGAATGTCAGAACAGTACAGATATCCCCCAAATGACCCCTTTTTGTAGAGTAGACAGTCTGACGTACTTCATAAGAGGCATGGCGAGTTTTTTTAAGTTGTACTTTTTTTGTCATTGTTTGGAAATGAAGAAATAAAAAAAATGATTTGCACTAATTTTTTTTTCCATACTGTCACCAGTGCAGTACAGTGTCATCATATAACTGGCATGGCGGTGATCAGGGACACTGACTGATGACAGTACGAAAAAAATAAAAATTATAATTTCTTTTATTTTTTTATTATTTTTTATTTTGTATTACATTTTTTTAAAGATTTGTTTTCATATTTCACTATGACCAAAGTAGTATAATGTTACCATAGTAACATTGTATTACTTTGGGGAAGTGATCTATATATTATTTTTTTTTTACACAATTTGCTTATAGCAAAGAATTACTTTGCTATAAGCAAGCATTTACCTGAATGAAATTGATTCATTCAGTTTTTTTTTTTTCTTAACTGTGATTTGGCCACAGCTAATCACATGACACAGCTGGGCTGTGATTGGCCCAGCTTGTGCATGTGGTCGCTGTGACCATTCACAGCTAGCCACACTTGTATACAATGGATGGCATGATAGGAAGCCATCCATTGTATACAACTGTCATGTGCCCTGCTGTGATTGGTCACAGCAGGTCACATGGTACTGGCAACGGGGACAGTACTCAGATCTGTCATCGGCCGTGTCCGAGGTACACGGCCGGTGACAGATCGCGTCACTGCGCGGCTCTGCTGGCATGCAAACTGCGCATGCCTGAAAGGATGCCATATGGCATCCACCCGGAGGGACGAGGGTTTTTGCCGGCCGCCATTTGGCCATAGGCCGGGCGGGAACTGGTTAAAGACAGAAAGGCTGTTCTCCCAGCACAGCCAGAAAACTGACCACGCTGGGATGGATGTTCTTCTATGCCTAGTGTGGTCAGTTTAAATTGTAAAGCAGGTGGAATGGCAGGATTACCAGGTATTTCATGCAAAGGAAGCAATACAAGGAGAACAGGATACTCTTTAACACAAGTACATGGTACAACAGACTCATATAGGGAATATGAACTGTTGGGGTAATGTTATCTTTAAGCTAACTGTGTACCAGTTATACACCTTGCCCAATTCAGTCAGCCATGCCCCTTTGACCTCTTTACGACCTTCTGTCTTCATTGTACTGTGGACAGGCGGCCACTGTAGGCAAAACGACATACGGGTGTGTCACTGCCTAGTTTCGGGTGCATGTGCGCGCACCCCCAACCTCACAACCCGGCGGCACCCACTGACTATATCGCACTGCAACGCTGTATCCAAATGAAATGTATAATTTTTTTCACACAAAAAGAGCTTTCTTTTGGTGGTTATTGGTCACCGCTGGGCGATCTGTACACAGCAAGAGCTTATCAGTAAGTCCCCACCAATGATTCATAGCTGGGACCTGCTGACCTGCTGTGTGCAGTCACAGCCCTCAGCTCTGTGTTGACATTCAATACAGAGCTCTGTACATAGGGAGCAATCTGTCAGTTTCTCATCCCTTTGTAAAAGCAGCACACACATTACTCAAAGTTAGGCACACATTTAACCCCTGATCGCCCTAGATGTTAACCCCTTCTCAGCCAGTGTCAGTACAGTGACAGTGTTTACCATTATCACTGATCACTGTATTAGTGGCAGTCAGTGCCAGTAATTGTCAGGTTGCCCGCCACAATCCCACAGTCCCTTTATAAATTGCTGATCACCACCATTAGTAGTATGAAAAAAAATTTTCAGTACATATACCATAGTTTGTTGGCGCTATCACTTTAACGCAAATCATTTAATATACACTTATTGGGATTTCTTTTACCAAAGACATGTAGCAAAATACATTTTGGCCAAAATGTAGGAAGAAATGTGATAATTCAATTTTTGTATTTTATTGGATATGTTTTATGGCAGAAAGAAAAAAAATGTTTTTTTTTCAAAATGTTTGCCCTTTTTTTGTTTATATCGCAAAAAATCAATAACCCAACGGTGACCAATAACCACCAAAAGAAAGCTCTATTTGTGTTAAAAAAAATTATATATAAATTTCGTTTGGATACAGCATTGTAATGCGATATAGCAAAAAATGGCCTGGTCATGAAGGGAATAAAATCTTCTGTAGCTGAAGTGGTTAATGTGTATCTGTAGGTAATTGTTGCTTGTTTTTGCTGTGATTGATTTAGGAGATTTCCCTTCACTTTCTGTCCACAACATTAAGTGATAAGTGAAAGGATATCTCTCCAAGGTGAGGAGAGGTCCCCTCTTGGACAGTTGTTACCAGAGCAGATGTCCCTACAAAAAGAGTTTACCTTATTGGGAACTGTAAAGTTTGGCATTTTCTTACACTTTTTTCCTGGTCAGCAATACTGGGGCGTTTGGCTTTTGATATAATTAAATGTAGCTTAATTCAGATTTGAATGTCAAACTGTATAGAACTTATTAGTTATAATGCTCTGTGAGTGCCTTTCTTCTTTTTTCATATACTTAGAATAGCAGATCTAAATCTTCCCAAATCTCCAAAGTATTGTCATTTTCTCTTCTCATTCAGACTCCGATATTTTCTTTTTTGAACCAATTCATATTTTAAAACTCTATTTTGATTCAGATCTTTTAAAGTTTTTATTATGTTACTCCCGTGACAATACAGTGTATGCATCACATGCTACTGTTTGTCTGCAAATGTGTTTGCTGACCAGATTTTGTCAGCTTTTCTCTCATTTCTACTCTCTGCACTCAGTTATATGTTGGCCCCATCAGAAGACTTGCACCCCCTGTATTGTTGTTGGCATGCTCTTTTTTATTTATTTTTGTTTTGTTTTTTTTTGTTTTTCGTTTTTTTCTTCATTGTATGTTGGGTGTGCCTGAGGATTTGGTGGGGCCTCTGTGACTCTGTTCTTTGGAACAAGGAAATACTAGCACAAGTACAAAAGTATCAGCTTTAATGGCATACACATATATATTTATATAATTGCATATATATATATATATATATATATATATATATATATATATATATATGCAATTAGAGTATTTAAATAGCTTAATTCCAATAATTGTTTTAATTTTTATTTTACCTTTTAGAAATCTGGATTTTTATTTTTTTGATTTGGACAATTTTTAAGACAATATATATTCTGTTTGCTAAGTCTGTAATAAATAACACTTCATTTGTACAGTCAAAAGCAAGTCTATTGTGGGACCTAAAAAATTTGGATTGTCTTTACCAGGAACAGAGTCACAAAAAAAGGGCTGCGTCAACCCCTTGATCCATGTTCTAACTCGCAAGGTCTGAAAACTGCATCCACCTATCAGCAAGGGGGATGCACAGAACATGTCACTGTTACTATCAATGTTAATCCATTACTTTATTTTACAATGAATAACCTTTTTTATATATCACCAAGGCTGGAAGCCTTCATGTGCTGAAACACATTTAGTCACATATGCTATAGCTTAACGCACTAAGTGGGTTCCCTGCCCTTAATCCCCTGATGCCTTTTTCTACATCCACTATTATTGCGGGCATTTGCTAGTTGCCCTTATGTTATACTCCTCTGCATTTTCTGTCTTTTCCCTCCCTTCCCTTTTTGTCGTTTCTTTTCCCTGTTTTTTTTTTTATTTTTATTTTATGTTTTGTTTTTTTTTAAGTAAATTATACTTCTTTTGCATGATGTTTGTGTTTCTGAAAGCTGCATTTATCGATGAAACCGTGTCAGATTCTAAAGAGGCTTTGTTAGGGTTTTTACACCCCAAAACCACAAAAATTTCATTAGAGTTTCTCATTTCTGCTGCTGGTATGTGGTACACCAAAATAATAGTTGTGAATACTAATATAAGCTTGATTTGGCTATCAGAAATAGCAGTAATAGTCAAGTCCAATGATTTTTTCTATCAATCTCGTTAATTGAAACTTTTGTAAGGAAGATATTTAGATGCTTAAGTATTCATTGTTGATAATGTGGGGATACTATAGTAGTGGATATGGATACATGTGGTCACTTTATTTAGTTTGTGAAACCCCATACCTGTTGATAAAGATGAGAAATTCCTAATAAATTTTTGTGTATTATATGTGCTGTGATGGGTGTACTCCTGATATATGGAACCCTTTTGGTATGAATAATGGCTTCATGTTTCTATATTCTCACTTTTTGTTTGTGTAGTATTTTTTTTTTTTTTTTCAAAGTGTTTACATATATATATATATATATTTTAATTTCATAATATGTTTTCTTTAATATTCAGTATTTTTATTCAAGTCATTCTTCTGTATCCTTGTTAATTTTATCTGCAGTTCGTCGTGTAGCCCCACGTTTCTCCATTTTACCTATGAGCCATGAAATTATGCCTGGAGGTAATGTAAATATAACTTGTGTTGCGGTTGGTTCACCCATGCCCTATGTGAAATGGATGATGGGTGCTGAAGATTTAACCCCAGAAGATGATATGCCTGTGGGGCGTAATGTTCTGGAACTTACCAACGTTAAGGAGTCTGCAAACTACACCTGTGTCGCTATGTCAAGTCTTGGGTTATTGAGTCGGTAGCTCAGATCACTGTTAAATGTGAGTATAGCTTTCTTTATTCACCTCTGAAAAGATACTGAAAATACATGCTATGCTATATGATATTTACAAAGAACTATCAGACGTATTCCCTAATTATACTGTATTAGGCTGTCAACTTCAGTTCATGTACCCTGTAGCTTTTTTTTCTAGTTTTTAAGTACGTATTTAATGCTTGTTAATTTTAATTCACAATAATTTTTTTAAAGGGAAATTGACCAGGCCTAACAAGTGTGCTGTTACCTTAGTTAGTCTTTGCCTGTCTTCTCTGTGCCCCTGTGGTGCTCACTTGGACACAACCTGGGCCTTGACTTCTGTACAAGTCAGGATTTAGCCCTCCCTTTCCTGATGCTTATACCAGTCTCTTTCATTTCATATGAAACCCCATACCCGTTGATAAAGATGAGAAATTCCTAATTAATTTTTGTGTATTATATGTGCTGTAATGGGTGTACTCCCTAATATATGGAACCCTTTTGGCATGAATAATGGCTTCATGTTTCTATATTCTCACTTTTTGTTTGTGTAGTATTTTTTTAAAGGGAACCCGGCCAGATCTAACAAGTGTGATGTTACCTTAGTTAGTCTTTGCCTGTCTTCTCTGTGTCCCTGTGGTGCCCCCTTTAATATAGCCGGGGCCTTGACTTCTGCCCAAGTCAGGATTTACCCCCCCCCCCCCCCCCCCCCCCCCCCCCTCTGTGGGGATGTCGGCGCTAGTGGAGGGTAGGTGTTTCTGCTGCGAGGGCCAGACAGAATCGAGCAAGCCGTTTCCTGATGCTTATACCACCCTTTTTCATTTGTCTGTCAAATGCCAGAACAGCAGTTTAAAGTAAAGCCTAGACTTATGCATATCTCACATTATAAGGAAGCATTTATACCCAAACTGGTTAATTGAAAGCACTTGATTGAGCTGCTAAACACATATGCACTCCTGCCCATAGGCTTTGTTCAATTCTTTGAGATGCTAAAAAGACTTTTAGGTTTTCTCAGCAGGAGTTTTGGAGTTCACTGTGATGGCACTTTAATACTTTTTCTGAAGTGCTAGTATGTCTCGTCCTGGGCATGGGAAGTAATTTAATTTCTGTCTGGAAAATCACAAAAATTAAAGTGTTACTAAACCCACAACAGTAAAATCATTCTGTATATGCAGTAAAGCATGCTTGTTATACTCATTGTGGATCCTAAGGGGTTAACCCTCCACATTGTGTAAAAAGGTTGTTTGATCCTGTCTTCTCTGATCCCCCCTTCTTCTACTGTCCCCAAACCATCTGCTGATAGAACAGAGCCTTGGGAGCAAGCTGCACATGTTCAGTTTGGTGTGTACTGCAAGAGATTTTTTTTTTCTTGGGAGAGTGCATGTGATCAGCACAGGGCCAATCAGCTCTGTCCAGACAGAGAGTCAGGGGTTATGCGGCCTTATAGGATAATCAGGGGAGAATGAAAACTGCTCCTACAAGCTTTAACCAGTGCTGCTGTCACAATACTGCTGTAACTGCTGATGATAGAAGGTATTTAGCAGTTTATATTTACTAAAATAATTGAATTTCCAAGTTCTATGTACTGTGGAAGATCAGATATAGTGAATGCAGGGTCATGGGTTTAGTAACACTTTAAGGGAGCCCTTAAAGAGACTTTGTCATAAAAAAAAAGACTGGCAAGCTGCCAAGATTTTGTAATGGGAAAAGAACACTAAGATTTCAATGCTTCTGTTTAGAATTTTGAAGATGAATTTCTCCATAATGCTTAGTCTAGACACAGGTTCACTATAAAACTAATCAACTAGAACACCTGTGTAGATTATATATCTGTAATTAAGTCAGTTGATTAGGTATATTTTGGAGGTGTTAGCAATTAGCAGAGAAAAGACGGGGTTACCTTGTATTTGAGGAGCACTGATCCGACAGAATGGCGATTGTTTGATGTCTGGTTTTTGAAGACATGGTCCATAGAACACATCCTTTCTGGAAAGTGTCTTTTTCATATTACAACTGATTCTGGAAGTGTGAACCTTTATATAGCTGAAAAGTCTTTGATAAAAACATATCAGTAAAAGGCTACATCAGCTCATTTAGCTGTGTATTAGACAAGACATTCTTGTCAGAATTGATAGCCCTTTCAAAATTGTGAGCAACTGCAAAAAAGTTTACAAATCTTATATCATAACCTTTTCAGTACCAGAGCCTTTCTTTTCATTTTGGCGAGGTCTCTGTTCTGCACATCATATCTTTTAGGTTTTCTAGTCTACCCCAAAGTATTATACCCATATTTTTGGGACAGATAGGGCTTTTATTTAGATGCATATATTTTTATTTATTTGGTACAAAATAAGAAAAAAATGCATCTTCTCCTAGGGCCAGTGGAAAAAAGGATAACAACACAGGTCTGAGGGCGCTCGGGACGAAACAGGAGAGAGGCAAATCAGGAGATAGAACCTGGAAAAAAAACCCACCGCACATTATTCCAGTGGCAGAATCACCGGGCTCAGACATACAGAGTAGAACCAGCTGAGGGGAAGATCTAGGGGCCAAAGCGAGAGACCCAAGGGGGGGGATAAAAAATCATGGGGAACCCGTACCTGGAGGAGAGTCAACCGGACCTTGCAGTTCCATAGAGTAGTATAACCACCGGGACCATATGTCATGAAATTTCTCAAGCTCATTTTTAACAGTATAGATCCATCGTTCGGCTTCATAGATCCTATCATCCTCTTGCTTCCACTCCGCAACAGTAGGGCATCAGCTCTGCTTTCAGAGGCATGGTATTAAGCTCTTAGTGGCTCTTGAATGCCACTAAGAGCTCTCCTTAAGCTCTTAGTGGTATTCAAAAGGTGCGAGGTGACACTACGTTTGTAAATTTTGGAGTGCACTCTTGAGGGGACCACCGTCAGCATCTGTTATCAGCCCCAGGGAAAATCCAGGAAGGTGTCCTGTACCAACGAGACCAAAACTTATAGCACAACTCTTTTATTTTGGAACTGATGGAGGAGACATGGCTCATCTGAGTGATTTTCCGCAATTGCAGGGTTAATAGATCGAAGCCCAATTCAGCCTTCCATTCTCGTATATAATAGGGTGTCGTTTGAGAAACTAGACAGTAAACCATGGTACATCTGGGATAGCAAATGTCTAGGATCCACCAGTTCCATACACAAAGTCTCAAAGGAAGTCAATGTGTCACGGGTTCACACTCTAGGAAACAACCTCTGAAAGAAATCATATATCTGACAATAATGCCAAAAATCCATAAGGAAAGACCCAAAAATATCCTTTTTTTTTTAGCTTCTTTTTATATTACTTTTTTTGTTCACTGCAGTGGAAGTGAATACAACAATCCCAATTTCCAACATCATTGGTATTACAAAGTTACATTTTAGGTTTGATAAAGCAATGCATCTTGATAGAGAAGGTTTGGTACGGTTAGGGATGTTAACCCACTTAATATAATATACAGTAAAAGAGAAAATAGTATAATAAATATAATAGGAAAAAACAGAGGTAAAAGTTCTGGTTTGAGAACTGTGTAACTATTCTTTAGATTTGAGTAAATCCTTTTTCTAGGTTTTTATTTTATAAAGAACTTTAGTCCTGCTTTAAACCACCACAAGTAAAAATGCATTGGTGGCCATATACAATCTAATTCCATGTCAAATTGGTGTCTCAGTGCAACAATTTGTTGAAAATTGGGATGTGTAAAGCAGAGTGTACTTGCAGAGGTTTGGTTGAATTAAAAAAAAAAAACCCTCATAAATCCCTGCATCTGACAGTATGGACCACGGGTGCTGGCCTGCCTGTGTTTCCCGCAGGACTGTTCGATAGAAATTAGTCATTAGACCGGCTTTTGTTGAACAGGGAGTAGTACTCACATATTGAAATTCAATATGTTAATATCCAGCTTAAGGCTTCTTCAAAGAGCAGTAACAATCATTTATAACTGTTCAAGGAACTCATTATCATACATAGAAATTTCTTTATTGTACATCCCAGGACACAGGGTATCTTCATATCATTTACGATAGGGTTATGCTGCCACCTTCGGGTCATTGGACACTGGCAAACAAAAGGAATGAATCTCCTTCTAGGTATAACCTCTCCCACCTAGGCATAGCATCAGTTTTTTTGCTAGAGGCTTAGGTGGTGATCATAATTGTGCAGTCTCTGCACATTTACTTTTTCTCAGCTAGTTTTTTTCTCAAAATTCCTGTTGAAAACAGGAGTCTGAATATATCCAGGTCTGTTGAATACAGCCTAAAGGCAAGAGGAATGGTACCTGGAACCTGTGACAGATGTGTGGGGACAGCCTGTAATGTTGCCTTTTGGCACTGGACCCTGCACAAACTGGAGCCTGTGTAATTTTATAGTGCCTCGCAAGCTGGCAGAGTGCTATATGTCAAGAATGGCAAGTGCCTCTGATGGGAGTCTTTCTGATGGTTGTACCTTCCCTGATTATCTGCCCTACGCTTCATAGGGTTTTCGGTTTTTACTGCACCATTCTTTGCTGCCACCCCGTGTGCTGCACTGTAGGAGCAGAGTTCAGTAGGGGCGGCCTGGTGGGGGGGATCGTGCTTCTACTTCCACTCCTAGCTTTAGATGGATGGCATGCATACACCTGTGTAGTGCACCTGTGCTGTCATCAGGGGCAGTTCAATTGCGGTTACCATCCTGGACTTTTTGCTCCATCAGCTCGGGAAGGCACAGGCTGGTCGGCGGTGCAAGCAAGCCTTCTAGGTGGATTGCTGGACTGAGGGCAGTAATCTACTGATTTCTCCAGAAAGTTCTACCACTGTGAGTGCAGTGATTTTGGTGGGTGTTGCTAACACTTGCCCCTCTCAGCTGATAGTGGGCTACTCATTACCAGAGTCCACTCATCGGCAACAGGTCATGTCTCAGCAATAGCAGAGAGGTAGGAGGTAGGGAAATTGAGGAAAATCCCTTTATCAGGTAAGGTGAGCCTCCCCCTGCAGTTATTCCCCTGGGGGGAGGAGTAGTGGGATCTTAGGAGAT